TCGCGATAACGCGAGTAGAAAAGTAATCATGGTTCTCTTCGGTTCTTCACGCGTTTCGAGGAGCTAAACACGTAGCCGATGCTTTCGAAGGCTCACCCTTGATGTTTGCTTCGTCGATTGCGTGCTTGGCATTTTCGTCAGATTATACACCGATGTATTCCACCATTTTATCCCTAACTGAAATCGAATTTTCAGTATCTCCGAAGTTTCGAGGGAAAGATTATAACGATAATATTTTTTTTATAACATAAAAAATATTTGTCGCGTAGTTACTATATAGCGAAATAATTATTTTTCGTAATTTGTATCTAAAGGCCATCTAGATAATACGCATTATTTACAGTACAAATATCGCTTATATAAACGTAGAACAGTACTGTAACGGTACTCTGATAAGAGCATATCGTACATTCATGAATCATCCGACGTTAAGAAGTACGTTGCCGATTGGAACGATGTACAATTGCGAGGTCGGGATTTCGCTTGTAGTATACGCTCACACGCACATAGACAGCCACTACGTGCCTCCTCGGCAAAGACGAAGTGGCTCCTTATCGCGAAGTTTGGGGCGTTGACGTTGATATGGCGGCGGGGGTTTGAACGATCCCCCCCTGTGCGAGAGGCAGGCAAATGGTCCCTACTGCTTCGGCTTAATCTGTTTAATCTGCCTAATCCGCTCCACGCCGATTCCACACGCTGGCGCGAATGTAGCCCTTTATCTGCAGCACTCGACTATAGTAGTAATTCATGCGTTACCAGCCCCCAGAGCGTGATCGCGGGTTACCCCTTAGGGGAAGATTTGGATATATCTCGCGATTTGAATGTTATTTTTGAATAGGCGAATTAGCATATGTGGTACGAAGAAAGCGTTCACTAATAACTGAATTAATTTCGCGAATTAACATTTACAAGAATTCAATTTTACAATATTCAAAGATATAAACGGTTTTTGGGGTAATATGCGTTTCATCGATTATAATAATATTATATTGTTATACGTGACGTTAGGTACTATAACAATATTGTGTAACGTTATTGCGCGATTTATATTTTTCCGTGTCATCAATCTTAGCGAGAAATGTGGGCCTGACGGTAATCGACACCATGTTTTCGACATGTGTGAAAGGGTGTATCCCTCTAATTCAATTTCTGACATTTAAATTAATTTAGGACGCTGCACCATTTTCGGGTCGATTTAGCTAATTCGCCTCGCGATGATTTGGTTCACCACCGTGGACCTCAATTTATCCATATCCGTGGTCGGTGACTCATACTCCAGCACGTCCGCGCACACTAGCCTCAAGAGACACTAATTATCCCCGCGTGGACAACCATACTCGAGGATAATTAACACATCGCGCACGTATTAGCCGTTCGCGCGTCAACATTAACAATTGATAATCAACCGGAATAAATATTAGCTACTTGCAAATGTTAGTTTCTATCCACACGCAATATCTCGTGTTTAAGAAAATATTATTCAACAAAAATCGCGTCGACAATTTTCCTAATAATTTAGAATATTGTTTTTATGCCATTATTTATCTTAATTTATTAAGAAAATTTATCTTAATAAGTGGTATTATTTAACGCTGCCTTGCCATCATTACATACAAAAGTCTTCCGGAATCTGATAAATTAGGTACATATAATTAATTCTAATTTAAAAATATATTTTTAAATTATATCAAATATTTTTTAGAAACTTATAAATCGTTTTCTGAAAAACATGCATCTTCGTGTAAAGGAGTATCAAAAAATACTGTAGTTTTTTATATAATTATAACTACGATAATGCATTTTTTACATTATTATTTCTATCGAAGCATTTTTCGAGAAAACTCCGCAATGAGAATGCTAATAAGAGATTCGACACGACTAACCCGATATATAGATTGAATCTTTAATTGTGTATGCCCGAGAGATACTTCTGTATATTTTACCACTTGAGAATAGTATTTACTGCGAGCTTTTACGAAATTAATTTTAAATCATTGTTTTATTTTGCTCGGTATAATTGGGTTAGCATACAAATATGCCATCCCAAGAAAATATCCCGAGAAAATACCAGATTAAATCGGTTATATTGTTATTTTTTAATTAAATTTTCCTTTTTCACCTTAGTAACTTCCTTCTTTCCATTTAAGAACTAAATATTTTAGTCTTTTCGCAGACGTTGCTATGCCGCATCTTCTGCCGCAAATTTAATTTTGGGAACGTGCTTTCATTAAATAATAAATTTTGGTATGCTAAGTTCATTGTTTCAAGGAATTTATAACAAGCCTGCTCCAAATTTCTTAAATTAATCATTATTAAACGAATTATCAGTTGAATTATTCCAAGTCTTATTGCATACTTTATTAACCTAATTTTACGATATTTAATATATACACGTACACTGCAAATCCAAGTGGCAAATGTGTTATTTTTACACGCATAAACGTTTAAAAATGACACACTTGACTAAAGCTCTTTTTACATGTTTCTTTATGTGTTAAATTACGTCATTTAATCGTAATTAAAATTTAATACGTTCAATCGTGTTCTTTGACGTGATTTAAAATGGAAAGAAATGTGTGAGAAGAGCTTCAGCTAAAATAACACACTTGGACTTGCAGTGTAAATATATTATAAGTGACAAAAGTGGAATTACTGAATTTATTATTCAACGGTCGTTCGTATTGCAAGCATGTCTCGTAATAATGTGACTTCGTACAATCTACTCGTTAATTTTTATTTCTATACCCGATCATGCCTCCATTATTCAAAGTTCTCAAGAAGCCAAGTGGCGTAAACAAACGTCCTCGATTTCGCGAACACTTGACACCGGACACTTTGGGGCGATAATGGGCGCGTTGTTGTACGAAATGGGCATTACATTAGGCGGTCTGATTTTCAGTTTAATGGAGTTCCGGAAGCGTAAAGTTTAATGGAAACAGTGGGGTCGCGAGCACAGCTGCGAGCACCTCTCCTTCTCGGGGGGGTTGAAACTGGCTCTTGATAGCCACTCGTGAAAATGCTTTGCGAGAGAAATAAAATAATACATTATACATATATTGCAGTAATTGCGTAAGCATATTTTAAGCGCCAATAAAGGCTACGTAATAAACAACAATTTGGTTTGTTTGAACAAAACTCGAAACTCTTAAGATATTATTTACAACATTATTCTGCTTAAATGCCTTTGGTAACAGATAAATATTAGGAACATCAAATATTAGGAATAAAAAAACATACAATAAATTAATTAAGAATCATTAATAATAAGAAGGTCATTTTTTAAAAGTACATTGAACTATATAATCTCACGATTTCGATCTTACGTTGTAAATAACTTTTTATTCCGCCTTTATCTAAAACGGATTGACAAATCTGTTGGAAGTATTAGCAAGTGCAGATTACGTTATCATAACCGGGCAAAAGTCAAAGAAGAAAATGAAGGATGGTGAGAAAACGGTGAGAAAACGGTGAGAGAGAACGAGCTGCGAGAATGTATATCGGATTAGCGATAGAAGTTTGGTAATTAAGTGGTAAGTGAGGCTGAATAAGAGGGAGAAATTTAGTAGGCAGGCCATCCCTTTGCTCTATGGAAAAGCGGAAGCAGAGGTGACACGAGTCAAAGAGAGGTCGGAAGCAGAGAGGCGGATGAAGTGGAGTCAGTCAGGGAAGGAGGATGGACTGTAGGCAGAGATAATTAGCGAGTTAATACGAGTCGTTGCTTCTCGAATTTCGTTACCGCGAGTATCATGCTGTGGCTAGGAATAAGATCTTAAAAGACTGTTATGACTGTGAATTTTCGGTCAATTAGGTTATTCATGTTTGAACGATGTGTATAATCTTTGCGATATCGCGATTAAAATATAAGCGTTACTTAGATTTTACTTTAATATTATCCAATCTATCTGTTGAAAAATCATAAGGAGCGTACATTTTTACATATTGAAAATTTAAGTTCAAGATACTCGGATTTTTTTCACGATAAAATCTTATGAAGTAAGTTTTTGAAATAATCTTCGCCATAACACTTAACTGACTCTCGGGCGAAAAAACTGGGTTAAAGATATCAGTTTGGCAATGAGGCGGAAGATAGTTTCGCGAAGATAGCTTCGATGTTTGCAGGAATACAAAATGAAGGAGGACGAACTTGTTCGCATCTTCGCATGGCTTCGGAAAACAAATATTTGCGTTGAGTTGAGCCGCACCCTTCTTGCGCGTCGAAAATGTATTTAATATCATGCAGTGTAGGAAAGGGCCGGTGTAGAGGTTAAAACAATTTAGCGATCGTATTTGGAAGCAAATTCCCGTTGTAAAATATCAAGCAGTAACGACATATATATTTTCCATAAATATTTAAAATGTGTTTTGTTCCGTTTACGAAGATCAACGGAAATATATAATTTCAGTATTATACCTCGTGCTCGATATATGAAAATTGGCACAATAATAAAGCAATGTCCGGTCTCGCATTATCGTGACTGTATTATTGGACCGACAAGAAGAATTATTAGATTGTTTAAACAGCGAATGCAATTAATCAGTTTTATGCTGAAACTGATATTGTCAGAGCATTTATTGCGTAGCATATCAATACCGGGGAAATAAATTAATGGCTATTATACTGAAGCTCGATGTTCTTTTAATGGGCTGCTGCTGCGCGGCTATTTTATCAGACGACAAAAGAGCTCTCGTGAAATCGAAGCATTAAATGCGCAAAAAAGAAGATGAGGTAATATCGAGCCACTAAAAGCCAGTCATGTAATTTGCTCCTAATTTCTTGAAAAACAAAACGTTTCGAAGTAATTCAGTTTCAAAGTAGATCCATTTATCTTATCACTTTTTCATGCGAGTAGAAAAATTTCCGATTTCTGCACTCAGTTTCGAGATAATTGCGCAAATACGCGTTTATGTAAAAATTACCAAGTTAATCAATTTATTTCACACGATGAATTAATGCGAAGAAAATAAAGGATCGCGCGTATACGAGGATATGAGATATGTACCTTGGTGAATGTGAGAGTAGCTATCGGCGGTAGACGAGGTAGATTCGGATAATAGAAGCTTCCCGCGGGATGTGCCGGATATCGGGATGTGATCCTGTAAGCGATTCCTTGGGGCTGCGTCGGCCAGTTGGCAGCCGTAAATGTGAAGCCGTTATCCGTGCCCCCATCCAGCGGGTCGAGCTGTTGAAAAAGGAATAACGGAAGGTGGTTTAAACGGGGGCATTTTCCGAGCATTCGCGGATTTTAGCGGGATGACAGGGCGCGCAGCGATATTCGCGGAGATAGACGCATAAATTATATTTCGCGACCAGCGATGCTCAGACATCTGACTTCCCGGGGCTGATTCAAGCGCGATTTACATTTTGTATTCGTATTTCATGTGACCGTAATGATCGTCCGAAATGTATTTTATTTAAATAACGACCTGAATAATTGAACAAGTACTGTGAGCGTACAACGCAGAAATAATTTCCTGTTATTATTGTATACTTTTAAGACTTTAAGTTACATAATATTATAAAGATAAATCTATGTGACAATTATTGATAGTGCTTTGATAAAGTACAGCTATGTTGCATTAATACATTTTCCGCGTTGCATCTATTTGAATTTTATCATTTACGCGACGAATTTCGGTCACATTGACACATTGAGTTTCATGCGCATTACTGCCAAATGTAATTACCTCTACGGTAACGGTATCGACCCAATTGCCCTCGACGCACAGTTGGAAGGAATCCACGCCTACGAACCAATCGGGACTGGGATTGATGCGCGCCATAATGCTAATTAGAGTATGATTGCCGTCCAAGAAGGCCCGAGTGACGCTCGTGCCTTCGCCTTGAGGAATCGGGGGACCCGTGAATGAGTGAAGGCTGTTTGGCGAGTCCCCATCCGCGTCCAGTCCATCGGCTCTTCCGGTTTCCACGTATAATCTGGCGCCCGTGGACAGTCTCTCGCCTAATCTATACAGAGTGTATGTCGAGTCGTGCGTTCGACCTGCAACAAGACACAATAGGGCCTTTTATTATAACAACTCGTTGAAATACTTACGACCTAGTTTTATAAATCCGACATATTTTTGGTATTTTTAGCACGGAATTTCTGTGACAATGATGACTATTGAGAAAGAAAAAGAAAGTTATTGTAAATCGATGCTTGATATATTACACGTATATATTTCACATGAATATTTCATTCATCTGAAGAGCGCCTGAAGCGTTTGTTTCTCATGTTGCGAAACGCGACGATTATACTGTCGCGTAACCGTTATATCCAACTGGCGGTGAAACAACGACCGCGCCGCGATGCAAATGCGTTTAACGATCAATTACCCTTGCCAAGTATCCCGGAAACCGTTCGTCGCCCTGTTTTCGTTGCTCTGGGCGCGTTAAGTAGCGCGCGTTTAAGGCGCTTCGTTAACGGTGGATTCATTGCTTTTGTCGCGAGAGTAGCCGCTCGACGACGGAAGCCGCTCTCGAGATAGCCGAATTAATGCCGAGGGAGAGAAAGGACGAGAGCATTGAATTTATAGTCAATTAATATTACCGCTCGAGACTCGTTGTCCGCTACTCCGGAAATAGTGCGCCATCCCAACATACACACACGCACGCACACACATGTACACACACTGATCCCACGAGACACATCCCATGCTCGCGCGCGCTCCGCAACGCAATCCTGAAAAATCTCTTGGACAATCTTCTCTGACGTGCTTCACCCCGTGTCTCGTCGGTTTTACCCCCCTGGACCCGGCATTCATCGTCACGCACGATTTAACAATCGATCGATGGCGAATAAACGACGGCCGGGTGTCCCGCGCCGTTGAAAAACTAACGTCGCTTCAGACGGAATTGCGGCCGGTATTGTACGCTACACGTGTGCAGCTTTTACCCCGTACCATCCATTCGCTTCTTTTCTTCGAGCCCTTTTTACCGAGGACTCGCGGAATTTTAATCAGGAATCGACGGAACATCCGGCGCAATTAAACCCCACGTGTCGTAATTCTCGGAAAACTTAAGTACTTTTTGCGATACTGTCGTATCTGAAATAGGATAAACGTTAAAATTTCACGTTTGATATATAGAAAGTAATTTTTTAATCAATTAATTTCTATTTACGATTTCTTGTCAATTAAAATTTAATTAATTAAATTTCCGATCAATTTCCTCTTCGCGAAGTTTCCTATATATTTCAGTAAAGAGAAAATTAATTTCGGATTTGTCAAAGGATAATCATCGTGAAATGCTGCGCAAACTTTCCGAAACACGCTGTGTACACTGCCGTGTTTTTATTGCGTCCAGTTATTCGCCAAAATGTTACGCGATGCGGTTTCTCATTCCATTCGTGCGAACAAAACCGAAACGTAGCTTTCAAAGGGATCGAAATAGTTCTCGTGCCGGCAGTGGTCCCGCCGAGTTCGAAGGAGACGTAATTAGTTACGAAATTAGTGGAAACCGCGAGGGATATGGACTGCGTGCGTTGGCAGAACGCGAAACAGGCTATTTCGCTGTAATTTCGGCGGAAACTGTCGATCATATACCTGCGTCGTTTTGTCATAAAAAATCAAGAACTGAAATTCGATCATGGAAAAAATTCGCCACATATAAATATGAAATAGACTCTTCTACAAATAAGAAGTTTTGCACATCGAATACATACAAAGTTTAGTTTATAGCGATAAAATTTTGTGCTAATCAGAAATTGACATGCTAATGTTGTCTTTTTTGTTTTTTGCTTTGTTACAATGATTCGATTTATGCCTTATTTAAATGAGAGCGAACAATTATTTTTTTTATTTAACGTACGTTCTCCGATTTTTGTTAAATCTGAATAAATCTTTGTACAACGCGCTTTCCTGAATTAATCCAACAGAAGAGTATTACATTGCCTTACGAAAGCAAGCTGAAAAAGTCGTTAAAGTCGACTCGTGGCTTAAATTGGCCTCGTTAATTAGATTAATTAGTATTGACCCGCTTCTCTCACAACCGTTCCAGTCTGATCCCTGTCTGTCTTGCGGCGTCTTCTCTTCCGCCTTGCTCTCGCTTGCCTGGGGCAGACAGAATTTATGAATGAATATTATCCTCCCTTTGAAACTCCATCTGTCTCTAACCGGTCGGTAATTTCATCAGGACTTAAATAGACGTTGATTCCATCCCGCAAATTACATTCGCAAACAGTGGCGTTTTATTAATTCCGCTCGTTCCTGGCGGCAAAGTCGCCTCTTTTCAACAGGATCTTCGTTCTTTACGTGGCCTTATATTAATGATCATTATTCAGGAAAATCTTCCCAGATGTCTGCTTTATATTTCGTGGATTGCGAAAATAAAAAGTGATTTCGCGGAGAGAAACGAAAATAAATATAAAATTCAAACTCCGTCTTCCTTCATCTTCTTTCGAGATTTGAAATAATTCTGACGCAGATTAACGTTCCTCAATTTTGACCTAAATTGATCTAATTTTCTGACACTCGTCATGAAAAATATATGCGACGTCAACGCGGCACGTAATTCGAATCGATCGTTTCCCGGGATCAATCGAATATTTTATTATAAGTGAATACCGACAATTTCCTCTGTATATGCGAATCTTCTGTTGTTTTATTCGAAGCGCTATTCAATAAGAATCCGATCATTGAGAGATACTTCATGGAAATAGCATAGCAAATTTTGTCGTCAATACAAATATCGCGATTTTGCACGAAAGTTCTCTCTGGAATAAATAAGAAATGCGATTCGATCAACCTATCGGAACCACGCACCTTTGCTATTCGCCCGAGAGATTTCTTTTTTTTTTATATATTCGACAACCCTGCGACATATTCGAGCGGTAAGAACGGGGGCTGAAGGAGCTTGGAACGAAGATTGACGACACGACGAACGCGAATGGGCCCGCGGTTCAATTCGCGAAATTCAATGTCGCTAAATTTAAACTTCTAGACGGTGAAATCAATCCACCTAATGATCGTCATAATTCACCCTGTCAAAGAATTCGACGAGTGAGGCGACGAGCTGCTTTCTTTCACGATAATTGTACCATTAAAGCGCAATGCGACGAAAATGTCATTGCATTTTCTTGTCAAATGCACGAAGCATGAATTTCTATTTATATTTAACAAAGAAATTTGTCTAAAAAGAATTTAAAAAATCAATGGCGTATTTAGGAAGGGCTTTTAATAGTCCTTGATTGTAACTTTAATGTATTTCTCGATCATGTTTCGAAGGGGTGTGCACGAAGAATCGGATGAAACACGATAATCGTTTTTCCGAAGACGTTCGTCTAGGTTTAAACGAGCATCTCTGCGCTTTCCGCATAGTATTCAATTTTCACGCCGGTACTATATCAAAGCCTGTGCGTCTTAAAGCGGTCGAATTTCTGATGAACAAGAGGGATAAGAACAATGTCGGCTGGGGTGGCTTTCGGATTGGCTCGTGGCGCTTCATTCAGCGAAATCGACCGGGCCGTAATTGAAATGCGAACAAAGCTCGCTCGTGACAATACGCGACCTTTAATTAGTGCCGCGACTGAAGAACGCGACGAGCCGGGGGGGGGGGGGGTTTGCTCGTCGCGCCAAACTTATCCGCGTTTCCGTAAGTTCGCGAAAGTGCTTAGAGCAAACAAGCGTGATTTGACAAATTGCGCGCGATCGCGTCGGGAAGACGAAGTCGTTCATTTCGGCGGCTGAAGAATGGACGTGCGCGTAGACATCGAGATTGATAAATTCGTGGCGGACGATGGCAGGGGTATAGAAGTTGGATTGATAGTAGCGCGTGGCAGAGGGGCAACGAGTTTCGTGCCGGCTGGCTGTAAATGTTTCCAGTTCCTTCAGAGCGGAGAAGCTGGGAAAGTCCGGATTATACTCCAGACTGGATGAAAATCCGAGTAGGAAGACGCTCTGCCTCTTCCGCCGGCAGTTCTTTGTTCGTCTTCATCTTCCTCGGAATTGGCGTCTGAAACAACTTTTCAACTTCCTCGGGAAGGAGCCGAGAGGCGGCGATCGCGGCCGACTTAGATCACGAAGAGATTCCGCGCCGGAATCTCTTGTGTGACTGTCAGACGGTGTGAGAGAGGTTATTGCTATATTCGAAATTCGATCCCTGAAACTCCCATTCTCGATGTTCGAGCGGTCCATCGAGCGTGAGAAAATTATAAGAGTGCGGGTCTTAAGGACGTGCGCGATACTGCAGTTTCCTCCACTGTAGATCTCTGCTCTTTTCATTCCCTTGCCTTTTCCTTACCCTTCTTCGACACATTCTAATATTTCTAGGATTTTATTTTATCCGCGCGATTATCTCTTTGGAAGCGCGTTTTCGCGCTTCGTTCCTTAATCGGTTGAGAGTCCGTTTATGTGCACCTAGGGAGAAATATCACCAATGGAGAACTTTTACTACTATCGTCGTGTCTATTTAAGGCGATAGGCGTTTCATACGTTTGAGACGCATGATTTAACTGTTATGGTATATTTTCCCACCATGAAGTTCAACCGCTATTCTTTAGTATTTTTATTCGACTTTTTATAGCAGACTTTAATATCTCGCAGATTTTATTTGATTTATTTCAGTTATATGATTATTATCATTTAAAAGATCTGCTCGTTTTCAGTATTTCTTGGTTCTATATAGAATTAATATTACTGAAGGAAAATTTTATATCACTATTGTCGCATTGTTTAAGATTACAGCCACTTTTTATATTAACGATACGTTTCTGCGTCTGTATGTGAGTTAATGTTAACGCAGACGTATAATTAAACTTTACACCGCTAATTATCACAGTACTGTTTCATTAGATACTGCACTAGCATAATTCTGCCTTGTATTTTTCTTCGAGGCTTTATACCGCGTTTCGAGCTAATATTCCTCTATTTTAACTACTTAGTTACTTTTTTGCAGACTTTTTCTCATCTCGTTCTTTCAGTTCACATTTAAGTATCTCTTTATATATAGCTTAAAAGAACTAGTGCCATCGATAAAAAACTTTTACTGCTATAATCGATTCCC